ATGCAATAAATTATAACCATGGAATATAAGTGTTTATATATATATATATATATATATATATATATATATATATGGTATAAAATGACAATTGGAAAAAATCTTAGATTTTGCCGACGCGTTTCGTCTTCCAACTTTTTCAAGGCAAAAATGAAATCGAAATGTTTTTGTTCTTATAGTTACATTAAAAAAATCCAAATTTAAAAAAATAGACGCTACTGTCTACGCTTTTTTTTCCTGGTTAATGTAAATTACCTTTATAGTAAGGGATTTTTTTCCATGTCGACAATACCAATCTGTCTTGTCCACAGAATTGACCTGGGAATTTAACCATATATATATATATATATATATATATATATATATATATATGAAGAAATATAGTCTTAAGATGTGCTATATTTATGGGATAAAGTGCTCAATGTCAGAGATAGAGCGTGTGTAAATATAAAAGTGAACAGGCCTGACGATTGCGTCTAGCATGAAACAGACTGTCGCCTCTAAGTGTTCACTTTATATGTTCGCTTTAATATATATATATATATATATATATATATATATATATGTGTGTGTGTGTGTGTGTGTGTGTATCGTTGAATACGACAGATAAGGAAAATTTGATGAACTTTTTATTGAGCTTTTTCCTAGTATTCTTAATTTTTTGGTTTGCTGGTGGTAAGGGAATGTAAAAAATATCCGCAGTGTCTATTGTCTCAAACGCTTTTGGCTACTTCTTTAGCCATGTTCAAGGGGTTTACTGTTAACTGCTGTAATTGTGTGATGCATTTTATATGATGGCAGCGTTTATTCCGAACGAAAGGAGCGTGTCTGGAATTCAAGTGTCCTATTAAAAAGAAAAACAAATATAACAATCCTTTGTTTCCTTTATTAAATAAAGTAAGATTAATACTGATTGCCAGCGGTGAGAGAGCCACTCTATATAAAACAATTTGGCAGCGGTAATTATCCTGACAGCCTCATTATATAAATATAATCGCATAAAGACTATACTGGATTTGGACAGTTGGGAGGCTTTGTTGTCTTCCATTCGGACAACGCCAGGCATCACCCGTCACAAATTGTTACAGCTTGGCTGGGATATCATACGAAACACGTTGTACTTGGCTGACCTTCGCTATTCGGATTACGACTTATTTCGAGCGCGCCAACATTTTCATAATGGGAAGATCTCCAATTCTCAGGGAGACTGTAAACACACACCTGCCATGATAGAATCATGAAACTGTCTCAAAGATGGTGAGAGGTAGGGGAATATCACACACACGCGCGCGCACACACACACACACACACACATATATATATATATATATATATATATATATGCATATTTGGATAAATCTTTGTAGAAATAATTAAATATTGTCTGAAATTCACTTAAAAACGGTATGAAATTTATTCCAGCACTATATATATATATATATATATATATATATATATATATATACAAATTTTTTATATATTATATATTATGTATGCGCGTTACTTATTGGAAAGCTCTCAATATAAGTGATAGAGCTAACATAATTACTTGGATTGATGTGAGTTTGTGACACTGGGTTTCACGCTCTCTGCGATCGTCAGCCAAACTCTGAGTTTATATATATATATATATATATATGGATTGATGTGAGTTTGGGTTTCACGCTCTCTGCGATCGTCAAACAAACTCTGGGTTTATCTGACGATCGCAGAGCGTGAAATCCAGGATCAAAAACTCTCTCTCTCTCTCTCTCACACACACACACACACACACACACACACACACACACACACACACATATATATATATATATATATATATTATAATTATTTAAAAAAATAATAGGATTTCTTCGCTAAATAAGCCCTGTTTCATCCTCAAGCGAAAATTTAAGAATAACCAATCTTGAAATTTACGCATCTTTATAAGCATATTCAGTCGCAAAATTACTAAAGAACTCCGGATTATTTACCTAACGTGTTCTTTCATATTTTGCTATATCTGCACACACACACACACACACACACACACACACACACACACACACATATATATATATATATATATGGGTGTGTGTGTGTGTGTGTGTGTGTGTGTGTTTATGTTTATGTTTGTTTATGTGTGTGTGTGCATGGCTTGACTATTGAGTTTAAGCATGAAAGAAACTGTTGCCGGTGTGTGTTGGCCTCAATATCCAGTTTTATATTTACATACGCTCAACCCCTGACCCCGATATTGACCACTTTAACCCATAAATATACTATACTTTAAATGTACATATATACGCACACACACACGCACACGCATATATATATATATATATATATATATATATATATATAGTATTAGTTTTAAGCCCATTTCTTTGTAGTTTTTAGCGCCCCAAATATTTGAAACTCAGGCAGAATGCCAGTTCTTTTTATGAAAAATCAGGTAGATATAATCTCATATATAAAACTAACAACCAATCAGATTGCAGATAGATGAGGCGCCAATACTATGAGTAATCACAGAAGCCATTTCACAATAAATGGTGAATCTACAAATGTTGATGACTTCCCAATAATTAACTGAAAACACAGCTTCTCTCCTCTGTAGAAAAAGGCTCGAGTATCTTCAATTCAGATGCTGGATTCAAGAAAGGCTTAGATTTCAAGTTAGCTGTCAACATAAACCTTTAGAAGTAAAAAGAGAAAGAGCAGACTGCTCAAATTACTGGAGCAGGCCGTAGCCTTTTTAGAATACTTTCAAATAGACGAGTAAGTGTCGCGGATCATATCGCTGAAAGCCAATACAGTTTCATAACGGACTGTATCATGACAAACATGGTCTTTGTTTCCCGACAGATTTAAGAGAAATGCTCTACGACACCTTTTGTCGACTTGACAGAAGCATTCGTTATGATTATACCAAATCAAGCCACTGGATAATCTTTGAAAAATTGGGCTGCCCATCAAAGGTTTTTTTTTTTTACAATAAGCATCCAATTTCACGAGTCGAAGCATGAGTAAGTCAGATTCAAGCGTGGCTTCCCCAAACCCTTTCCAATCAAAAACAACACCAAATTCTTATATACGATCCATCACTAAAGATGCAGGTAGAATGATCAGCTCCCTGTGGCGCTTCAGTAATTACCTGACACCTCATGCTATCTTCTAACTTTAAAAGAGCCAGATCCGACCAAAAATGGAGTAATGTTGCCATATTTGGACAGGAGATGCCTACACCTAAATTTTTAGTCTTGATAGAGTTCAAAAGCGTCTCCGAATCATTGTGGGGGAACCTCTCACTCACAGCCTGGATTACTGATCTATCAGTACTACGATGGAAAGTGCTCGGACGAACTGTGTCTCTTGGTCCCACCAGGTCTGCCCTTCACCGCCAGTACCCGCCTTGCTACTTACATAGTAGAATACCGTCTACGTTCCCTCTCTATTCCATTTAAACAGCTTCTTCCCGTAAATCACTGCCCTGCTGTAGAGAGATGCACGGTGGAGTAATGGATAGCGACTTGGATTGAGGAATCGGAGAGCCGCGTTCGAATTCCAGTCAAATCCATTACATTCACTTATGTGATAATACCCTTGGGCTAGGTATGAATCTTCTTCTTCCTTCACCAGCTGGGGGGGAAAAATCTGCCTTGTCAGTCATGTATCGAAAGATACATGATCACCTAAGCGTTTATCACGCATGGGATATAACTGTGTGACATTTTCTGTACACAGATGTGTATTATTTTTATCACAGTACATATTTAACACTTTGAAATTGTTACATCTTGGGGTTTTCATTTACTTAATTAACTATAAATTTAGGTCCAGTGAATTAAGGAAAAAAAACAAAACAAAAAAAAAACAGTAAAATTCCCCAAAATAAAAACAAAGAAACAAAAAAACACCCAACAAAAAACAAAAAAGCAGAAAAATCAAAAAGAAAAACCAAAAACAAAAAAGCAAACAAAAAAACCCCAAAAAGTAAAAATAAACAAAAACAAAAAACAAAAAAAACCCAGTAAAATTCCCCAAAACAAAAAAAAACAACCCCCTCCCCAAAACTCCAAAAACGCAGAAAAAAAACACACAAAAAAAACAAAAAGAAAAAAAAACCAAAACAAACAACAACAAAATAAAAACAAAAAAAACATAAACAAAACAAAAAGAAAAAACAAACAAAAAATAGAGCAGACTACTGACATTAAATTTCCAGAGAAACATCTTCATTTACTTGTCGACTGCTGTTACCAATGGCAATGGATATTTCCAGTTCGAGACAGATCACCGATTCAACAAAAGAGGCGCATGACTTCAAGCGTGGAATAAATTCAGAGATAATGAAAAAAAGAAAAAGAAATATAAAAAAAAAATCAAATATGTCTGGGGCCCACCCTTTCCCCGACTTCTTAAAACTAGGTCAACTGTTGAAAAGATATGTCTCCTTTTGATTGCCGTGGGCGAACAAGAACGGCCTTTACTTCTATCTTATTTTCTTTTTGATGTGATGTGAACTCGTGAATTATCAGAGCAAATCCTTGATACAAAAGCCAGGTTAGGGATAATTACGTTGACTCGTTGTTTGACGATGAACGAGTTTGCAAGGCAATAACTTTGAGCAATTGTATATATGTAAGATGCGGGCTTTGTCTTAAATGGCCGTGTGTGTGATTAAGCATGAATTAAAACTCGTACGCGCGCATAATAATGTGCGTCTTACATCCTATGTAAGAATGTGTTTGTCTTTAATATAAGCAATGAAGAACAGACACATAGGGAGTGACAAGTAGATAGCTAGCGGTATGGATAGGAATGAAAAGCTAGGCTAGATAGATGTGGATAAACTGAGAGATAACTACGTGTATATATATATATATATATATATATATATATATATATATATATTTCTGTGATAGAAAGCAAGCAAGAAAAAATGGAGAGTGTTACATATGAACAGGTCGAGACATATAACTATGACAGAGACAAATAGGTAGATCTGAGTTTTAAATATACTAGTTGGTTTGAATAAAAGGCATGGCTGGATTCTTTTTAATGATAGATAGATAGATATGAACAGACTGAAATAGATAGATAGATATATATGAAGAGAATAAAATAGATAGATAGATAGATAGATAGATAGATAGATATGAACAGACTGAAATAGATAGATAGATAGGTAGATAGATATGAATAGACTGACGTAGATAGATATGAATAGAATGAGATAGATAGATATTAACAGACTGAGATAGATAGATATGAACAGACTGAGATAAATAGATAGATAGATAGATATTAACTGACTGAGATAGATAGATAGATAGATAGATAGATAGATAGATATGAACAGACTGAGATAGATAGATAGATAGATAGATAGATAGATAGATAGATAAGAATAGAATGAAAAATAATAGAATGAAATGGATAGAAAGTAATATAAAAGAGACAGAATAAAAGGGAATGGCTGGAAAATTTTTAATAATAATTTTTAATAGATAGACAATGAACAGACTGAGATAGATAGATAGATAGACAGATAGATAGACAGATAGATAGATAGATAGATAATGAAGAGACTGGGGTAGACAGAAAAAAGTAATAGATTTCGAAAGAAAGAAAGAAAGAAAGAAAGAATAGGCTGGTGTTAGATATGAAAAGTTCGAGATAAATAATTATGAAAAGAGATTGATAGGTACACCTGAGTTTCAAATGTACGGTCTTGTTTGAATAAAAGGGATAGCTGGAATATTTGTAATAATTTTGAGCAATGAAACACAGCCTGAGAATACTTACAACCAGTATATTTAAAACTCAGATCTCCGGCCTTCTTCAGGTGGTTGGAATGTCGAACTGAACCCTTTATTTCGCTCACTGGGGTAGACTGTTCTAGTTCCACGTGCCATGTCTAATGGATGTCAGTTATCACCTGCTTAATTCACCCTCCAAGTTCTCCACCGCCTTAACCAGGTATTGAACTCACACTCTTTTGGTCCTGTCACTGGATCTAACAAACGCCTTTATCCACTGTGTTATGTGTAATTGTTTTGTAATAAATATGGCGACAAAGACGAGGGTTAGTTCGAATAATGTAAATAGTGTACATAATACCTCATCTCATAAATATAGACAGATACTGAAAGGCCGTAACGTTGTACTAAATGTGGCGACAAAGATGAAGACAATAGTCCGAATAATGTAAATAGTGTACATAATACCTCATCTCATAAATATAGACAGATACTGAAAGGCCGAAACGTTGTGATAAATATGGCGACAAAGAGGAGGACAATAGTCCGAATAATGTAAATAGTGTACATAATACCTCATCTCATCTCATATAGACGGAAATTATATTATTATTTATACCTATTTTTCTTGTTTACAAACGTTGCAGATGCTGCTATGATTGTTGTAAGGTTTCGCTTTTTTTAAAAATTTTTCCAGTTTGCAATCGGATGTTTCCCTTTAACTTCCACACAGGTTTGGCTTATTTAGTTGAATTTCTAAGTCTTTCTAGCTTAAAAGATGACTTATGATTGCACCACCTCTTTTTAAAATTACCTTCAGTACACCCTATGTATATTTTTCTGGTCATTTGTATCTATTATTTCTGCTTTGTAAATTACTGCTTTAGTTTTGCAAACACCATCTAATGAACATGTATTTATATTTCTACATTTGCATATTTCACTGTTAGAAATATTTTGCTGCACGTTAGTTTTGAAATTTCTGACGTTTTGTCTTTTGATTGCGGTTTCTAAATGACTAGTACAGCTGTAGCTTAATTTAACAGTGTTTTTATTAAATATTTATGTAATTCGGAATTGGGGGGGGAGTGTCTATTAAGAAATTTGAAAAATATTTTTCCTATTTCATACTTGAGCTTAAAGTTAAAACAGGGGTTAAAACAATTAATATTTTTTTTTTCTTTTTATCGAACTGTTTTTCATTTGTTGTTGTTTTTTTCGGTTTAAATTCCAGTTTGGTTGTATGCACCTCTTCTTTTAAAGTCCATTTATATTCTTTCTTTTTGTCTTCTAAAATTATTTTACTGGAGGAATTTCTAGATAACCTGGACTCTTTTCCTTTGAGGATTTGCTTTATTATACTCGTAGGGTGGTTGGATCTAACATTCACGTATTTTAATTTTGTGTTGGGTTTCATATTTGGGGAGACATGCCAATTTGTAGATTTAATTCTACATCCAAATCTTTGACAATTTTCTTATTTGATAATCTTATTCTTATCCCCTAATTTTCTATAAAAGCTCCACATGTTCAATTTTTATCTGTTTATATGTGTATTGTGCACCTTGTATTACACTTTCGTCTCATGGTCTAATTCAAGTCTGACCGTTAATTTATATATATATATATATATATATATATATATATATATATTTAGACATATCATATATAATTTAGACATATCACGTTGATTAGTTTTCGTTGTGATTCTTTCAAGTTCCTTAGAAAATTGCTTAAGAAAAATACCAAAATTTTCTTTCAAATAGTTTTTATTTTCCCAAGTACTTTCAATCTCATCTGCAACCGTCTTCAGGGGCTTAAGTTGTCTGTAAGTATGTATATGTGTTTTTGTAAATTCAAAACATTTCAACTGTTTTTTTCTGCTTATGCAGCCTTCTAGATTTCAAAGCCCAGAATTCAAGTGTTTTTCTTACTATAAGACAGGTAACTTTTCCATTTTTGCTCATACATACATACATACATATATATATATATATATATATATATATATATATAAGCATTTCATGACATTATTCCTATACTCATAGTTGATATTATTTATTTTGGACTTTAATTCTCATATATAAAGGGCTTCAAGGATTTTTAGGTTTTGCTTATTATTGTTTTTATGTAATATAGATGTATTTTCAACTAATATCCGTTTGATCTGTGAATGTAGGCATGAATGTTTCTTTAAATGCTGGGATATTGAACTATGATCAGCCAAATTACAAGTAAGCCTTTTTGTTAGCATCGTCATAGTAAAGCCAACGTACGTATTGACATTTTTATCAATGATACAATTTCCTAAAGGACATTTAAATTTATATATAATATTGGCTTTTTCAAGAAGCTGGTTGGCGGAGAAAAGTTGTTTTGGACAAGTAGGTTTATTGTATTAAATTTAGTATAGTATATAATTAATTTTATTTTTTTAATTGGATCAGTGGGAGATATATTAGTGTTTATGTGTTTTGTAGGATTTTTTCCTCCTGTTTATAGTTGAAATGCATTTGATTACGATGAGTTATTTAATGATGTATTTATTTTTTATTTATGTTAATATTCCTAATAGCTTGTCTAATTTGTTTATCAGCAATATAATTAGAGAAGTCATTATTAATGAGAGTTTGTTTAATGTTTTTTAATCGAGTGT